TCAAAAAACAGAAGTTTACCAGAAGAATTTCTTTTATAAATTAGGAGAAAAATCAGAAGATTTTCTATTTGAAGTTAAGAGAACATTAGATAATTTTCTCGTAGAAAATTCCAATTTTTGCTCACATAAAGAGTGGGCCAGAAGTTCTGTCTCATTTTGTGTAATAAACTTTTATATAGTGAAACACATGATAGTAAATTTGTTTCTATGAAGAAAAGATGCAATAAAAGATGCTCTACGAAATGACTATTGATTGACTCCGCTAGCTCATGTAGTAAGAAAATTGTAAGTTTAGAAATGTGCTTTACCAAAAATAAAAGTTAACCATGAACTCAGTCAATATGGTGGTTTTTTTCAGTAAAATTCCCATAACTTCATCAAAACAAAGACTTTTTTGATCAGGTTTATTTTGATTTGATCAGAAACTATTGCTCTTCTCTACCTAGCTGAAATATCAACACTTCGATCACGTTTTCCCTTTCTTACTGAGTACGCTGTTGAAAACGATGTTGTCGAGTTTTGAAACTTGGGTCTTAAGCACATCATCTTGTCTAGAAAAAAATTTTACATACCACAAGAAAGAGTACTGTTAAAAGTATCAAACTCAACTGAGTTCTGATTTTTACTACGCTGTTTTACGACAATCATAGGAAAAGAAAAAGTTCAAGTCAAAAGCAATACCAAATTTACAAACTTTTGATCTTTTTTGCTTCACATATAATTTCCTTAGCTTCTTGTGCTTGAAATTCTAGAATTAAAGTTTAAATATGATTTTGTAGAGAATTTCATAGCGCGTCTATTAACAAAAGAATTTGTTTTAGCTAACCTAAGAAACAGTAGTTAGAGTAAAAATACCGAGACCAAGTTCATAGTTAATTTTAGTTTTTTGTGAAGCATATTTCTAAGCTTATAATTTTCTTACTACATAAGCTAAAGGGATCAAGCAATAGTCATTTTGTAAAGCATCTTTTACTGTATCTTTTTCTCATAGAGACAAATTTACAATCATGTGTTTTTGACTAAATAAAAGTTTATTATACAAAATGAGACAGGACTTGTGGCTCACCTTGTAAGCACTTTTATCTCTTTCATATCAACTTGATGATCAATAATTTAACACAAATGATATTATTTTCACTTGAGTTTTATCACAAGTAATATTTTCTGTTATATAGAAGAATCATGAAAACATTTTTTTTTAGTTCTATCTATTATATAGACTTGACCAGTTAATATTCTTATCTTCATTCTTTCCAGATATTTTTTTTATTCTGATCTATCAGTCCGAATTCTTTTTCATTATGAAGTTCAAACAAAAGTATTTATATAAATTAATAGAAGGATAGAAAGACTCTTACCAGAATTGGAAAAAAGACAATCATTCTTTGTTTCTTACATCACTATATGAATCGTTTACACGTGCTTCTTTGCTCATTTTTGCAATGAGCGTTTTATACCATTGATATGCTATAAAAGCAAGATAAGTTAACTTTTAACAAACGAAGTTGTTTTTCTCTTAAGCCTTTTATGATCTATTAAATGAACATTTTATCGAAATGGCTATTACTTCTGCTTCCTTTTTATTGATGCCTTCACTTTTTTTTGTTGTATTATAGATCTATTCATTCTTTTCATGTTTGTCATTCCTATCAAACTTTGACAACAAAATAGGAGTACAAATGAGCCTATAGAAACTCCATACTAATAATGAAAATGGAGCGCAGAAATCTTGCTATGTTATTCAAGATATTGTCCTATTCTGAGCTCAAAAGAATCTGACGTGATTTCCAAGAAATGCAAAATTCTTTCCAGATGAAAGACATCTTGCCTGGTCATTTAAAATTTGTCTATTGGTCTCTTGTCTGATTTTCAAGATCTTATTTTCCAGACAATAACATGTACGGTTCGGCTATCTCTAGTAAAACAAGTACTTTGTATACAATCAGGTCATGTAATTGATGATTTTCTTTTTAGAGAAAAATTAAATAAAAGCAAATATTTTCTTATTGGTTCAAAGTATCGCTAACAATCAAGTAGAAAAAGCACTAAAAATCAGGAGTCTCCTCGTCAAATCAGCAAGTTTGATAATTCTGATCATGACTTTGACTTGGAATGAATGTTGTTTCTGTTGACTTTTATAACAAAAGCAGTGACAAGGGAAAAAGCATTGACAAACCAGTTGCATTCAGACAATTGAATTGATCTATAGAACTTCTCAATATTCACATCTATATGACAATGATTTTTTACTTATGAAAACTAAATTCAGATTCTTTTTCTAAATAGAATTTAATGATTGGTAGATGATGGATCTTTTAATTATAAATTTCATCAGCACGTTTTCTTCTTATATTTGAGAAATAGATCGGTAAATAATAGTCGATTACTGTCATATATATTTACTATCGTATCTCTTACATCAATTTAATTTAGTTCGATTAAGAGAGAACGCATTTTTTTGTGCCTATGTCCTTGAAATTTCTGTATTTTTGTCAATACTTATGAGATAATAAAACCAAATGTTGATAATGGAAGTATTCTCAGATGTCGACTATTTTTTATCGATTTCAGTACCAAAAACGAACTGAAATGTAAGTGAAGTTTTAGGAAAAAACGTCTTGATTCTTCTCTCATTCAAACTCCAAACAAATCAGTATAGGAATATCAAGTGACTGTTGTTTGTATTATTTCTCTTGTTGGTAATAATTAACATCGGAATTATTTTTTTCATACATATGGTTCAATTAATTTTTGATAATTATCGTATATTGATATAAAATCTTTCTATATAATCAATGACCAAATATACTTTTCGAATATTTAATAATTTAATGTGTTATTCTGTCAATAAATATGATCTCAAACTGATATGAAATCAATTTAATGAAAAATCATTTTTATTTTATACTTATTAATAAAAAGTCTGTCTTTAAAAAAATCTCCACATGTCATCGATATTATTGACTTTTCGTCATATCTATTCGAGATGCAATTAATTATTATGATTCAAAGTTAAACATTATTATCTTAAAACATGTTTTCATTGTTTTTCACCAACATTTATAGACCATGATCAGTTAAATTGTATTATATGGTTAAAATTTTTTTTTTTTATTAATATGATTACATTGTCTTGCATTACTTGGTTTAAAGAAATTATTGAATTCATCTTAGGATAAAGTTCCTGAGTGAAAATGTATTAAACCAAGTGTTGTAAGTTTCGCCCCTAGCCATAGTTCTGGTAAATCTGGTCTAGTTCCGGTGGGGGGATTCGGAAAAACAATTTCTGAATTTCTATGTATTGAATCTAAAAGGTCTTAAATACGCATAATTGATTGATTCAGCCGGTCGATATCACATTTTTTGGTTATCTCGCTTGAATTTTGCTTTGATTGGTAAAATTTATAAAGCAATTCTATAAAACTCATAGAAAATTCAATTACATTTCTTTTTGTTTCAGTTTGGACTATTTTTTTCTCTTGCACTACTTTATTTTTGATGCAAATCGAGGAAAAAAGGTTCATTGATCTTCATTAGTTTAATGTTTTCAATAACGCTAGGATGTGATCATAAAATCAAAAGATATAATTATAAGTAAAAAAAAGCGCCCATTTCTTTTTTCTCTTTTCCGCTGCTTGATTAACTCTGCACTGATATTTTTTTTGTCCTCACTTCGAAACTAATAACAGTGTTCTTTTCTACTAAGTTAATTGTGCATTGACGTGTAAGAGACCAGAGCTTTTTTGATTAAATATTAGTTAAATGATGACAGATCACTTTTGTCTTCAATATTGTAAGTTTTTAGGTAAGAAAGTCTTTAGATAGATTAAATATTATTCTCATAACTGGATATCGAATGGTTAATACTTTTTTTAGCTTCTTATAATTTATCGAAATGCATACTGGAATATATACCGACTATCGTCTCGAATTGACAATACGATAACGGTGAATAGTCGTCATCACTTCATTCCTTTAATTTATTATTAAAAATTATATTTTTCCCATCTAATCTGAAGAAGCCCTGTTCTCAAAATTTTAGAAACGTTTTGTTTTATAACAAACGAGAATGAATGTCTCACAATCATGTAAAAAACCTATTGAATTAAAATATATATAATTGTATTCATACTATTAGTTTCTTATCGTGCATAACTAAATAATAAATCGATTAATTTACATAATTTTAAGATTTATATGAAATTGTCATGCAAAAAAAATCATAAAAAGAAATTTATTAATGTTCCCATGATTTATAATCCATTTCCTATTTGAAAATAAAATATGGATCAATCGACATCAGTGCCATCTATTTTCGCAGTTGGTTTTTTTTTCTTTCATATAACACTATTTCAATAAATTACATAGGTGAATGATTTTTTTTTCTATTATTTAAATAAAAACAAACGTTATGTAAGAGCTTCTAACATGATTTGAGCAAAACAAAATAGACATATTATTTATTTTCGTACCTCCTATTTCGTTACATTCAAGGTATGCAATGTAAGATACAAATCATTCTTTGTTTTACGCATTTCCTATTCTCATGATAAGCAATCCGTGACCAAAAAAAAACGATATCTATATAGGTTTTATTACATAATTGGTCCGATTAGAATTAAGAAACTCTTTCATTCTTCGTTTTCATTCGTTGCTATTATTGTTGTTGTTTATTTGTCACTTGAGAAATATTATTCATCATCATATGTTTTAGACGAAGAGATAAAAACAAAGCGTTTTTTATTTTATTTTCATTATTATTATTATTATTTGTATTTTGTGCATGAAAATAATCAATCCCGATTGGTTTGATCGATCAATAATGATCGAATTGAATTGTTGTTGGTCATAAGAAAACAATACAAAAGAATTTTTTAAAAGGATCAAACAACGCAAAAACGATTTCATTCTAATTAATTTTATCATTTTTTTTTTACTTCGTTCATCTTGGATCTATAGAACTGAAGCGATTTTCAGACGCACTCACTCATTTGCGACAAATGCCGTCGTCTTCATCGTCCTCTTCATCGAAAGATAAGGACAAAGAAAAAGAATCTAGCAAGACAAAAAAGGTATCGAATTTATTTAATTGATATAAAAATGATTTTAAACTCATTTTCTAAATTTTTTTTCTTTTAGACGGCCTCTGTCACAAAATCAAAATCGAAAGATGAACCAGATGGAAAATCAACTGGAAATGATGATGTAAGAAATCTTGTAATAGTTCATATTCTATTAAAAATTTTTTGTATATTTTAAAGAGTAAAGGGAAAGAATCTGCAATGGGTAAAACATCATCAACAACATCTTCAATTAGTAATAGTTCAGCAATAAAGTCAACAACACGTCCAACAAATTCTCTTTCATCATCTCAACAACAAAATGAAATAATATCAACAGGAAATAATCTCAATAGTGGTAGTTCAACTTTAACATCATCACATCCACCACAAACATCATTAACGAAAGTTCAACCAATGACTGGTGCACCTAATAGACGTAACGATAATCGTCGTAATTCTTCACGATTTAATATTTCAAAAAATCGTGAACTTGTTAAATTACCATTAATGAAAGATGCATCTACTAATGAACGTGAATCATTATTTATACAAAAATTACAACAATGTTGTACTGTATTTGATTTTCAACTTGATCCATTATCAGATCTTAAATGGAAAGAAATAAAACGTGCTGCATTAAATGAACTTATTGATTATATAGCATCAAATCGAGGTGTTATTACTGATTCAATCTATCCAGAAGCTGTACGAATGGTAAATCATGAAAAGAAAAACAAAAAGGAAAATGTGCTTCAAGTTTATCTTTTGTGTATTTTTTAGTTTTCAATTAATCTTTTTCGAACATTACCACCAGTAAGTAATCCAACAGGTGCTGATTATGATCCAGAAGAAGATGAACCAAATCTTGAAGTAGCATGGCCACATTTACAACTTGTCTATGATTTCTTTTTACGTTTTCTTGAATCACCTGATTTTCAACCAAATGCAGCTAAACGATATATTGATCAAAAATTTGTTCTCAATGTAATAACAAAAAAAAAAAAAAGAAAAACTAAATCATTGTATTTTGAATTCATTTTGAAAAAATACTATTTTTGTTTTGTCTATTTAGTTACTTGATTTATTTGATAGTGAAGATCCACGTGAACGTGATTATTTAAAAACAATTCTTCATCGTATTTATGGAAAATTTCTTGGTTTACGTGCTTATATACGAAAACAAATCAATAATACATTCTATAAAGTAAATATAAGGAAAAATATAGACTTCATGCAATATTATTTTGTTTTTTTGTACTTATCTAAAAAATCTGTAATATTTAAAAATATTCATATATTAATAGAAGGAAGTCTTTTTCCAGGTCGTTGATCATATTTGATAAATAGGAAATCAATTGTATAATGTTAAGTAAATAGAATAAAAAAAACAATATTATTATTTGTTTTCTAGTCTTATTAGATATGCATTAGTCATTGTTGGATTGGTATTCAAGAAGATAGATATCCAGCTGACCCAATGAAAATTGTCAATAAGATGAAAATTTCGTCACTTTAGAAATGTCCGATTATTTGCCATTTTTTTTATAGCTTCGTAGTAACTTCGGATAGAAACAGGTTTCAGAAGAGAAAACAAGTTACAAGGAGTTTCATTTTTGACATCGACTCCTAAAAAAACAACATTCTAGAGCCAATATTCCATTGAACTAGAATTCGTGCATAGCTAATTCTTATATATACGTAAAAATGATCTATTGAGTCTTATTTCTAAAATAAGAATAGTTATTATGTTTATACAATTGATGGAAATCGCCTGAAGATGTGTTCGGTCTCGATAAATTCCTAATTATCACGATGTTAAAAAATGTCAAGTGTTTCCGAGTAGGAAACAATATTGAATTCTTCAAATTTCGTTATACAACAAGTCTTAGTATTTGTGATATATTTAATGGATTTTATTTTTTAATGAAAAATAAAGAATTCAATGCAAAGCTTTAATAATCTAGAGATTGAACACTATAAAATTGTTTTTTTCTTGTAAATAAATATGAAATATTGACATTTCCTTTTTAGTTTATCTATGAAACTGAACGACATAATGGTATTGCTGAATTACTTGAAATTCTTGGAAGGTAAAAAAGAAAAAAAAGAAGCAAACTTGTTTTTATTTAATAAAAAAATTAAAATTTCTAAATTTTGTTTAGTATTATAAATGGATTTGCATTACCATTAAAAGAAGAACATAAAGTATTTTTAATAAAAGTCTTATTACCATTGCATAAAGTTAAAACACTCAGTGTTTATCATCCACAATTAGCTTATTGTATTGTGCAATTTCTTGAAAAAGATCCAAGCTTAACGCAACCGGTATTATAATATGACATACAAATAAAAAATTTTTCTATTTTTATTTTATAGGTGATCATGGGTTTACTTAAATATTGGCCAAAAACTCATAGTCCAAAGGAGGTTATGTTTCTTAATGAATTAGAAGAAATTCTTGATGTTATGGAACCAGTTGAATTTCAAAAAGTCATGGTTCCTTTATTTAAACAATTAGCTAAATGTGTATCAAGTCCACATTTTCAAGTTTGTTTTATTTAAAATAAAATAATACCAAAACATAAGATTTATGTTGTTCTTTATTTTTGTTTTTTTTGTTAGGTTGCTGAAAGAGCACTTTATTATTGGAATAATGAATATATAATGAGCTTATTAACTGAAAATGCTGCTGTTATTTTACCAATTATGTTTCCAGCTTTGTATAAAAATACAAAAACACATTGGAATAAGTAAATACAAATTTAAATATTTACTTAATGTTTTTAATTGTTTTTTTCTTTTTTTAATCATCGAAAATAAATAGAACAATTCATGGTTTGATTTATAATGCATTAAAATTATTTATGGAAATGAATCATAAATTATTTGATGAATGTTCACAAAAATATAAACTTGAAAAACAAAAAGAAAAAGATAAATTACGTGATCGAGATTCAGCATGGACAAAAATTGAATCAAAAGCTAGACAAAATCCAAATGTAAAAAAAGAAAAACATTAATTAATTTGATTCTAATAAATTAGATTAAATTTATTTATTTTATTAGTATAAAGCATTTGCCGCTAATCAACCAGAACTTTATCGACCTATTGATAATGATGATGATGATGGTGGCGCAGCTAATATAACAGCAAAAGAAATTGAACAAGAAGCTAAAGAGGTAAGAAAATAAAGATTTAATGATAAAAGATCGACTGAATAACCAAAGTTTGATAAATTTTATAGAACTAAAGAAAAAAATTCATGAAATAGAAAACGATAATATATATATATACGAGCAGTTTTATTTGTTACCGACGTGATTTTGTAAAATAAATTTTTACATACATTTATATTTACAAATACCGCAAGTTCAAAAAGTATTTTTCCAAGAGTAACGAGGTAACTATCAGGGTTGATACCTCACCGCCGTTTAAGACCATATTAGATCTACAAGAACATCTTAGTGAGACGAACAGAAGCTTAAAAGTATTTATCTCTATTGGTCTTTGAGGTCAAGTTATGATTGTTTTACTGAACTTCTAATTCAACTATGAGAATATACCAAAAACTCAAAAAAAACAATCTTTCGACGTGGAATATTGCTTATGAAAAGATCAAATGATCAGTAGAGTATTCCTTGGTCGAGATATTGAATTTCCAAAATGAGTCGTTTACCATAGACATGACACAAAAATCGAATTTACTTGATAATTGAATATCTCGACAAAAGAACAGTTTTTTTTTTCGGCTGAAGCTTTCAAGATATTCTATAGATCAATCTATGAACAAAATTTTTGCGTCGAAATTCTATTTTTTGAGTTTTCACTGCATATCTAAAGCTGAATCAAAAATTCAGTAAAGCGATCATAATTTGCTTTCAACGATCCATGGTGACAAATCCTTTTAGGTTTTCACTAGTCTAGTCAAGGCGCAATATGTCCTCAAACAGTGGGTATTAGTTTGGATGATTTTCTTGAAAATGGAGTATTTTGTCGTAGACTCTTCAGACTATAAAATCTTGGAGTAAACTATATCTTATTGAACATGCTTCGATTTTACAATGCATTGTCAGTGACGTAACTGAGTACGAATATAGAAATGAAAAGTCTGAATGAGACGTTCAAAAAACAATACTAAATGCTATAAATTTTTTTTTTTTTGGAATCTTAAGATCATAGCAAGACAAAAATGTTTCGTTCTGGAACATGAGTTAATCTCTACAGAGTTAGTTATTTTTGAAGTTAGATCATGCTAAAAATTCCACTGTAGATATAGTTTGCAGTGCAGAGTCTATCCTGAAATTTTCGTCATGAGACTCGAGAGTTATTGGCTAATTACATATTAGTTAATCAATTAATTAAGTTTAATTAGATTTCAACGGAAAGAGTTTATTTAAAAAGAATCAAAGTCAAATCGAAGATAGTCATGTTCCGTTTTGCTTGATCTTGTCCATATTATATATATTAATCCATATCTTTTGTAAAATATACTGTTTCTAAGAAATAGAAGATACTGTTCTGTTTTTAAATTTAAGTCTTCATTAATTATATTTGCTTTTTAGGCAAGTCGTACAATGCAGAAAAACAAACCGATGATAAGACGCAAGAGTGAATTGCCTCATGATTATTCTACATTGAATGCGTTAGAAAGACACAAGCGACCGAATGAATTTTTAAGTTCTGCAAATGAAGCAAATTCCAATGTTCAATAAATGAATAGGACCTAATATCATCTTAAAATAAAACGATCTGAAGATCTTCTTGTTGTTGTTGTTGTTGTTGTTGTTGTTGTTTTTTTAAATATCTTCATTTTCTTATCTAGTTAAATCAATTCCTTTGTTTTTTCTTTATTTGTTCTATAATAGTTTGTACAGAATCTTAAAAAAATTATTTAAATAAGAAGCAAAAAACCGAAGAGTGAACTAAAACTTTTCTATCTCTTTCATTTAGGGTTGATTTCTTTCTAGTATGCGTTATCATGTCCTTTTTTTTCGCTTGTATTTTTCTACACATATACACGTCATGAACGTGTTTCGCTTTGTTCCTTCATTTTTTTTTCTTTGTTCGTATGTTCAATTAGGCGAAGCCAATAACACATATTTGTTCTTGCCTTCTATTCTTGCTCGCATCTATTTGTTCGTTTCCCCATATATATATATATATTAAACACATATTCTGTCTTTTGTCCTCTTTTTTTTTTGTATCATCAAACAATGGAATAATTGCTCTTCTTTTCTAAAAAACAGAAAAAAAGAAAGAAAGTTTTATGCGTATGAACATGTAGTTACTTGTTCGCGAGCTTTGATCAATTGATCTTGAAAAGAAAAATCAAAAAAAAAGTATGATGAAAGATCAGTTATTATTCTCTTTATTGCCTGTGTGGCTTGTGTGATCATCTGCATTTGTTGCGTATGTTTGTGTGTGTAATTCTTCAATTTTTTTTTGCTTATTGCGGCTTTTGTTTGCAAAACATCAATACAATACAAATCTTTTATCATCATGTTCTTTCTTTTTTTTTTCGTCTCTTACGATTTATGGGTTTTTTTTCTTTGTTTGTTTATAGATTTTATCATCATCTTTCTCTATACACGACTGTTGTCATCGACGGTTTCGGTTTCGGTTTTGTTCTTCTATATTCATTTATCTATTACAATGCTCGTTTAAGCAGATAAAAAAAAACACAAAAGAAGTAACAAGTATTTTTAATTGGATCGAAGCTTCCCTTTTGTTTGTGTTTATTATAACACATTAATTTGATATTAAGTTTTAAAAAAGTTATGGTGGATACAGTAACAACAACAACAACAACAACAACAACAACAATGGGGAATGATAATGATGATTGGGAAGTAGCTGTCGACACTGGTGAATTTGATAAACGACTTGAACAACAAGAAAAAGCTCGTGCAGCTAATCAAGTACATTTTTTTTTCTTCATTGTATAAAAGCCTTAACGATAAGAAGAATGTTTCATGGTGTGAGTACTATCTCCTACTAGGTTTATACCGACCTATCAAATTTAGAAAGTGAACAGCAGTCGTTTTTATTTAGTGGGTTTTAATTCTACAGTAAATAACTTTGTTCATATTTTGATTTTAAAACACTAAAACTTAGAGTTGTTCAGAAAATTTTATTAAAAATATTAGTCTTTTAAATAGATAAGCATGTCATGGTTTGAAATATTCTCTATTATTTTTTGAAACTATTTTGATTAAACCTTCAGGGTTTTGTTAATACTATTTTTTAAATTCTAAACAGTTGGTCTTCCTATGGAAAATATAGTAATGATTATGATATTAGAGAATTTAATAAAATACTAAAAAAAAAGATTAAATTTTGGAAAATATTTGATTGTAATTTATAGTTTACAATATAAACAAATGGGTATAAGTTATGCTAATCTAGTTATAAGATTCTTATTAATATGGTGAGTATGAATATTGTCTAAATTAGTCTATGTTGATAAATATGTTTTATCAAAGACTTTATTGTGATTATGGAATATTATCATCAATCAAAAATCTCAATTGTGATTATTTATGAAAACAATTTCCTTTTTTTCTTTCTTGATCAATTTGAATTTTTATTCATTAGATATAGTTCTTTTTTTTACGAAGTTGACGATATCATGTATTTTTTATGAGATTCCTTAGCAATCTTTTGAATCAGTAACATTTGTAGATATTGATCAATTGAGAATTTTTTCGACTTTCAAGATTTAAAGTTCTAAATAGAGAAAATCATATGAACCTTATTTCAATGTTGATAATCAAGAAATAATCAACAGAAATATTTACATCTCAATTTGTAATTGAAGTTTTAGCGATCAATCTCCTTAACTATATATTGACAAACTCATTGATATTAATCGAAGTTGTCATTTTAATTGATATGAAATATGATGCTGAATGAAAATTTATTAAAAATATGTGTCTCACGAGAAAACTGTTCGAAGTAATTCACAATGATTACGCCGATATTTTTTCCATGAATAGAATCCAACGAAACGAGAAAAGTATCAAAGGATAAAAATCTATGGGTCTTTCTTCCTAAATGAATGACCATTTTAACAGACTTATCACTTGTAACAAAAGATATCTCGAGAACAAAGCATTCATTTTGATTGTGACGTTTAAGGATCATAAGATCTATATACAATGAAATTTTTTAAATTGAAAATTCTATATTTTGAGTTGTCGGTAAATCTCTTATTATAAGTGATAAACCTAGCAAAATCGTTCTAACTTAGGAAGAAATATGCATTGGATTTTGATCCTGGAAAGTTTTTTCTAATTTCACTGTATCCTATTCATGAGAAAAAAATATCAGCACAAAAGCTGTAAATCACATGATATAGTTCCCTCGTTAGATTTATTAAATACTTCAAATAGCCTATATGCGTTTTTTTTCAAATATCGATAAACTTTCTATTTTCTCTGTCAATAATAGATCAATAGTTGCCGATGTCATATTATTCTATTACCTGGGAAACTTAATAGAACATTTCAATGTATTTGAAGAAGGTTATTTGTTCCTTTTTTTGCAAAGAATTTATAGTTGCATTGACAAGTGTGATATTATTACAATGAATATGCAAATAATCATGTTTTTTTTTTCAATGTCTAAATTGAATTGAATTCTTGTTAATGTATTTCAGGAGCCTACTATATCTGCTGTATCATCAAATGTGAATGATGATGACAGTCGAACTTCCTCAAGTATCAATTTTATGAATTCAAATAAACCAATTCGAATTCTTAAACGACCGATCAGTCAATGTCAATTACCAACTAATAATGATGTAACTAATTCTTTGATATCAACCACTACTACTTCTACAGCAGCATCAAATAATAACAATAATACTAATAACAGTAATTCGCCTGTTTCTACTACTACTTCTTCGTCTACAACAGTGCCTGTCGTATCGATCATTCCACGTAATCATAATAAAGATTTGACTAATTCTTCACAATCAATAACAACACCTGTTTTTTCTTCACCTTCTTTATCTTCTCAAACAACAAAACCTGCTATTAAAACTTATGAACAACGTGAACTTGAATATAGACTAGCTAGACTCAGGTAAAACATATCAAAGAGATAAGAAAAAAAAACAATAATCTATTGCAAATTTTAGAATAATGGGTGAAGAAGAAAGCTCAGTAAAAGATGATGATATACCTGTTGTTGAAACTACATCCGTGCCTACAGATGATACTACTAAACCTACTACCTCATCTTCGTCTACTACTTCTTCAACAATAAGAACAACAAATAAAATGAGTGGACTTTCTCAACAACCACTTCAATGTCATTCAACACCTGGTAGTTACGCTGCAAATTTATACTCACTTACTAATATACCATCGAATACTGGAACGATTCATTTTACACCAAATACTACTACTAATAATACTAATAATAATAACAGTACGCCAAATCTTGGAACAGGACCTTATTCTTCACCTAATTTTCCTCAACATTATCATGGTGCTTATTCTACTCCATACTCTCATATGCCACCTCCACCCTTAATTCCACGTTATCCATTGGCAGCAACAACAACTACTACACTTTACATGACATCCACAGCACCTTTTGTAAGTGCACCTTCATCATCATCATCATCTGTATCTTCATCATATCATCTGACATCACAACAACATTCAAATATGACAACAACTAATTGGTATCATTATCAAAATCCACAAACACCTTATGGAACACAACAGTATGGGCATCCACAATAAATTATTTATTAAATATATATATATATATATATATGATTGTTTCTCTTTCTCTCTTACATGAAAAAAAAATTTATTCGTCGATCGATCGACATTAGATTTAAAAAAAGTCAACATTTTTATTATACTTTAAAATAGTAAGGCTAACGAAAAGCAATAATAGTTCAAAATGATCAACCACGAAAACACAATCAAAAATAAGATGTTATAGTCAAAAAAATAATTTTAGAAAAATATATATGAACTCTATATACATATAAATTAAGATACTAAAAGAAAAATGACAATGTTTGAGTTAAGTCAGTTTGTCTATGAATACAAATATTTACAAATTCTTGAATAGTTTCTTAAAAAATGAGAATTTATAGGGGAACTTTTCTTTGAGAAATGTCTTCGAGGAAAAAAGAGTGCATCACGATAATAAACTAACTCTGGGCTAGAGTGTGAGTATATGTATTCATCTGAGTTCGAAGTTAAGTATTATTGCACTTGTATAAACTTACAGCACACGTGATATTTTGTTTCTTATTGTTTAGCGTCAAATTTAAAGTTGCAGCGCTGGTTACGAATATCATCTTAGATTTTTTTTCTAAACTATTTCGATGAATGAAGAGAAACAACTTTCAAGAAATAAGACCATGGATGAATAAGGATGCTGTTTTTTTGCTTTTGACTAGCTACTGACCGTGTATAATGTTTGAAATGTTTGAAAAAATTTATTAAACGGATATTCAAGTATTCTTTATCTAATGATGTAGATATTAACATATTTTATTATTTGAAGCAGATCATAGAATCGAATCATGAGAGAAAATACGAATCAATTGATATGTACAGCTCACTTTACAATTGTTGAGTTGGCAAGAAAGTTTTGCGTCTTTTTTTTTATTACTAAGATAATACAAAAAAGACGCAAAACTTTCTTGCCAACCCAATATATCACTTCGTCATGTCACTGTGTCACCCTCTAAAAATAAACACAAACAGACCGTGTCTTTTATGTTCTATTTAAAAATGTCCTTTAACAAGAAAAACAAAAATTAGTGTTTCGAAATAAAGTAACTATTTAGTAGCGAAAAATCATATTTATCAGATCATTTTTTCACAGTTCTCGCATGCTACACCTCGTTGTATATATTTAATTAATACAATTAATGTTTTATTAAATAGAAAATATTCAGTTACTTAGAGTAAATATTTTTTTAAACATTTACAATACTGTATTGACAGAGGAATGATTTAAAAAAAGAAACAAGCAGAGAGACTCGTTTAATTTTGTTTAAAGTGAATATGTTGCATATATCGTCTTTTCACTTTTTAAAATAGTTTACAAAAAAATTGAGGAGGTACTCGTGATTATTGTCATGAATTCTATACTATGGTATGTGTTTGATTTCAAAATCAAAGGAAACAATTTTCAAGGTTTCTGAGGACTGGAGGGAAGTGCAAGCGAGAAAAGTCATATGTCGAACTGATGTAAATAAATATGCCCATTTCGTAGTTCATGGTTGTTCTATTGTGATGGCTTACTCTTTTTTTTCGAATAGGTTTTGGAGAGAAAAATGCATTTATCAATTTTCATTTTTTTATTTTATTTTTGTATTCAGATGGCGGAGTCTATGACCTCCATAGACATATATTGTATGCATGAAATTTGCTACTAAATTTCGCACTTGGAGGACAAAAAAAGATGCAGAGAACAAAAAAAAAGTGTAAATAGAAGAAAAGAAGCAGAACATAAACTGTGCCCTATGAAAGTAGGCCGAAAAAACAATTTTTCCAATTCTGTTACTTTGTCTATCATAGTCAAGGATACCATTTACAAAGATTTTATCTGTATATAAGCAATGTTTTACATGTTTTCAATTATTAGTTATGGAACGAAAACAAGTTTATACAAGAATCAGTTTTCTTTTTTCTAAGTTACTGGAAGTATGAAAAAACGAAAAGTAAGAAGATTTCTTATATCTGTTGATAAAAATTTGATCGAATGGTATAATAAAGTTTATGAACTTAGTACCTATGTTCGAATCTACATGACTGTCCACATACAGCTCCACTCCTTCTAATATTATGGAGGTAGTCGGCGTTCCCTATGATGTGGAAAAGTGAATAAGTATTGTTCTCTCGCTATGCCGCTAGATCTTCTCCTTTGCGAGACATCGATGATCTTTCGGAACGTAGAGTACAAACAAAACTAAAATAATTTATTTCTATTGTCATTTTCATTTTTATATATACGATCAGAATCTAATTTTCTTATTTATAATAATTAGTTAATAACATTTTTCTATATTCAAATAATCTTGACTACTTAGAATACTTTTTTTATCTAATGATTTGTCAAGCTGTCCTTCATATTAACGAGTACATCGTATAATGTAGCTATTCGCTAAACATGATGCTTTGCTATGTCTATTCAATGCAAAAAAAAGTAATTCAAATTTCAATAAGCATCTATAGACAGTATATCATAATGTCTATTCTTGTCTGTTGCACATCATGTCTGCATGTCTAGGCCATCAGCAGGAGAACGATAGAAAATGAATGGCAGAGAAAAGCAAAAAAAACAAAATGTTATTCTATTTCATGGCCATATTAGCGAGATTCTAATAGAAACTGCAGCGATGACAACAGCTGACATTAATGTACTGTCTTATCGTCTTCAACATCACCATAATATACATATACATATATATATATATATAGAATACATCATAATTATAGAAAATGTCTCGTTCATATAATGTGATGAAAATTGTTTGCATGCTGCCATGAAGTATTCCTATCATTTTTCTCGACTCTATCTTGTGATGTATATATTTATTTTGTTGATATGTCATCAACTTATAGACATTGATCTTATTTCCAACGTTATCGAAATCAAGCAGGTAAAATGCGGCTAATCGTTTAAAGTACTTGTCATTTAATTTATTTACAACTCTGCTTATCGAACATGCGCTAGTAGCCTATTTAAAATGTCTGCTACACTAGATATTTTAGTCACTAAAATATTGTATACTTTTTCATTTTATTATATACTATCAATGTTAAAATAAAGGTATGCGTAGTCTACAGGAACGTTTCTATGTTGAATATTCGAATAAGAAAATTAAACAGCATCATAAAGAAGAAAAGAAAAAAGAAAATGGTGAATAGAATATGATCAGATGAATATTTTATATTTTAAATTCTTTTCCATTTGCTTCTTTGAATATATCATTATTAAAAATATTTTTTAAAATATAAATTTCTCTTGATTAGTGTATTTCTTTGATAAACTTAGCTTCATTTGTCATTTTCTGAAGGCTTTCTCATAAGAAAAACTTTTAATTTTTCCTTTCGGAGAACTCATGAAACGGAAAAATCATACTGTGTACGATGTCTTTGTCATGTCATTTCCATCAAACTTTTACATTGAACTGTTATAGGAGTTGTATGCAGAGAATAAAAAAGAAATTGTGATGCGTATCTTTTTTATAAAAAAAAGTTAAAATGATCTCTAATACTTTTACAAGACTTATCATGTTGTTGTAAATAAAACGGAGTAATCTTTTTATTTCATTTCATCTCGTTTAGATTACTATTAAGAAAACTTATCTAAAATTCATAACTTTGCAAGTGTTTCAGCGTTGTTGTATTATAGATAAGTATGTTGATGTCCGATGCCATTTGTACTAAAAGATTAGTTAGTCTAAAAAGAAAGACAAGAATTTATCATCGTCGATGAAGCATTTAAGATATAATTCATTACGTTGCCTATATTGATCTGTAACCATCAGGTTCTAATACAAATCATAAGATAAAAAGTCAAGTTTTACTGCAGTAAAAACACAATGATAATTTTCAAATGTACACAAGAGGTAATAAAATACATTAATTAGTTTTTTATGACTACACGTGAATATTTTTTTTCCGTAGCTTCCTGTCTATTTGCGTATATCATTTATATCAATCGTATCATTAGTACTATCAATCATATTTTTTTTCGACTCGCTTTTTTGCTTCATGTTTCATGAATCAACCAATAGAGTGTTCGATAAATATAGTTATTTTTTCTTCTTAACTCTTTAATACTCAAATCAGATTATTCAGGATATCAATGAGCTTAGTTTTTTAATGTTATATATCAATTATTTAAGCTTAAATGTATCTTCAGAAATTTATCTTTCTAACAAGAATAACAATGTTAGTTGTTTTTCATATGATTAGTATTTTAATATATGTATGAACTCATCATCTCTGTCTGAGATTCTATCGAGTGTACCACTTGATAATACCGTCTTATATGGGCTTTCAATTTTGCATTCATACGTGTTGAGCATCCTTTAGCAATTTCGAACGACAAAGATAGATATCTATTGTCTGCATTATGATCTCATAGAAACTTCCAGAACATTCTATCTGTAAGGTATTATAATATCAATCAAAACCAAAGAAATACTGTTCGATTGATCTTGTTGTTCATAAAAGTATATAGTCTTAATATAATTTAATAATCAATTAGCATATTTAATGTGTTTAGTTCAATAGTCACTAATCAATATAGAGATAAAATTCAAAGCTTGGTTTTTAATGGTAAATAATTTGAAATCACGTAGTTATATGTTGCTTACGCCTTGATGTTTTGAATAATGGCAACAATAATATTAGAATAAATATTAGATTTTAATGACTCTGGGTCATGGAAAGTCATGTACTTGATATTTCATTACCTTGAGATAATTTTTTCATATGAAAAAACGAAAAAGTATGATTACATTTCGCCATAAATGTATATATATATATATTCATATTCTTATCTATTGACATATACTATTCCAACCGACAGATAAGGTTAAAGAAATAAAAGATGAATAAAGAAAAAAGATGAAGCATAGCAATCTAATAGTCAGATTGCTTTTCTCACCACTAGCTGAGAGCTATTGAAAATTATTGTATGTATATTACTTGTTTACATGTGCATTTTTTTCTTTCATTCCTTTTTCTATTATTATTTTCTGATGTAATATTATTTTCATTCGTCATAGTAATTCTACATTCATCAGTGAAATGTACATATTTCATTTCAAATATTAAAAAGAACAAATATTTCACGCCTTCGAGACACATAGCATGAGCCTAAATAGATATTTACCATTAAACTACTCTCTGACATAACGATTGTTGGCGAATAGAATCTACCATTAAATAGAAGGCAATAATCAATGAGTCATAGATGTTTATTGAATTAGTTTCTTGTTCTTCCTTTTCGTAAGATTTATTTGACTGAATAGGATAAAGATTCTTTTAACTGTTTTTCTTCCTATTACCGGTTGCTATCTCAGCCAACTTATTTATCAAAGGTCAACGCGTACGCAAAACCCCTCGAAGGGGTGTGAGCATAAGATGTCTAATCTTCTCTTTTCTTTCTTTCAGTATAACAACACATCGGGTTATTTATCATTTTTATTTATTGATGGTAACGTTTACATTTCTATGTTCTAGATTGCGATATATAAAAAATTAAAAATTTGTTTCTATGAATTATATCAATGTCTGGTAAAGCACCAGCAACAAATGGTAATAATGGTATTGATGCTCCATTTTTATTAAGTAAACATAAAGTAATGCAATATTTACAAAATTCAGCATGTTGTTCAACGAATACAAATAACAATTCATTAGTTGGTCATCAGAAAACATCTCCACATACACATGATTTATTCTATGCAAAAGATACATCTATTAACAATAATCATAATCAACGTCAAAAACGTATGCATTCTTGTTTAGAAAATAGTTCGGGACCATCTACTCTTGATACCTTATCACGATTTAATTTCAGCTATGGTTCTAGTTTGTCCGATCCCGGTGGACACTGTAGTACGTTTAGTTCGAATACATCATCATCCGGTATATATAGTACATTTTCTGATGTTAGACATGAAGAAGGTACATCAACATCATCAGAAGACCTTGATTTTAACCTTGGTTTTGAGCAAATCAGTGATAATGATGATTTTGAAGTAGCTAATCTTGATGAAATCGATGAATATGATGAATATGAACTAAATGAAGGAGATAATCAACGAATCTCAAATAACAATAGTGGTAGTAAATAAAAATAAAATGAAATAAAACTCTATTTTCTATTGTTTTTCTTCTAAGGTACAGCAACATTACTTGATTTTGATGAATCGAATTCAAATGCATATATGAATAAATTGGAAGGATTTCTTCGTAAATCTCTTAGTTCAACAACTATTAATGGTAATGTTGAAAGTAATAATGATGATACAATAACAGATAACCAAATAAAACAACAACAGTGTGGATCATTATTAGATGAGTCAATCTACACATTGTGTTCACCAGATCGTTTTTCAGTATATAGTGAAAACGATGATTATGAAAAAGATACTGCGCCACCTGCTATTACTACACGTTCCAATTCAGTGGGCTTTGGTTTATTAAATAGAAAACCAGCTTTATTGGATAAACCAACAAAAAAAGTTGTTCGTTTCGCCGATATGTTGGTATGTTTTGTGTATCTTATAAGCAGATAACAATAACGTCCATTTACATAAGATACGAGAAAAATTATTTTAAAGTCATAGAAATGATATAGGAGCTGTATGAGGTGAAAGATAAATAAAGATTAGTACAGGGTAAGATATAGTTAAAGCAGAGCTGTAGCTAGTCGAGATATTTTTGCAATTGGCTCGGTTCGATCGGTTCAAAACTTATTTTAGAGTGGTGAAAATCACCAAAAACTGACCGATTTGTTCGATCATTATTAATCAGTTAATGGAAATGGCTTCAAAAAACATTCATTTTCCTTTGTACACTCAGTACTGTACAAATCTTCAGGGAGAAATAGCATGATACAAGCGTTTTATCTGTTAAGTTTCTCGACGATGAATATATCATAGCTTTATAAGTGGCACGAACAAAGAACTCTTTAACTCGTCCATTGATTGCTAAACTAAAAACCTTGCATTTTCTCACTCAATCTTTCTAGACAAACCAAACATAAATCTTCGAACTACGATCCAAATCTAAAGTTTCTCTTCACCAACAAAATAGTTCAGCTCTAGAAACACAGTTTTGATTGTGTTTAAAAGGAAAATAAGAGACTACAGAAGAGCAGAAATAAATAAAAGTGATAATTCTTGAAACAAAACTATTTGATTATTTTGATAGGCAAAAGCAAATTTGTTCTCAATAAGTGTTATCAGAGAAAAATGGCACATCTTTAAAGTATTTTTCAACGGGTAAAAATTCGCGAGAGGATCGACCGATCCAATTATTTCAACTGGTCTTAATTGGATCGATTACAAATTCGAGTCAGAGTACCAAAAGTACTCGATAGGGTGCGAGAAATATACAGTAGAATCTATAAGACAACCATATGCTT